AAAAGGGATCAAGCTACTACACCTTCAGGAAGGCAGGAAGGAGACAACCCTACACAAGGACATATAGTTCTCTGCTTACAGGTGCTGCTTATTATTCTCCAGCTTATTGGACCTCCATAACCTCTATTAATGTGCAATTTATCTGTTTGACTTGTGATTTTTTATGGCTGAGTACAACAAAGCTTCTTGAATTCCTGTCACGTTACAGTCAAAATTCACAGGAATGCATTTCATTAGTGACCTCTGTCGTAAACTAATACAATTACTGACAAGGTAGGAGGCAATGTTGGTGACAGCTGTTGCAGACAGCAGCCAAGAATTACTGCAATGCTTTCTTTTTTATAAATCTCACAAAAAATTGCCAGACTGCAGAGTTTGTTTACCTAAAAGAAATTGAAATATGAAAATATACCCACCCTTTTGTGGCAACCTAAATTAAAACATAATTTATGCTTAGACCTTCTTGATGCAGCTAAATACAAGTCAAATCTCTAACAGAACTTGGAAGCAAATGCACTTCACTGAAGAGGCCTCAATATCTGCTTAAAGCAATGAAAAAGAAAATATTCTGTTTATAACTGAATTCAAATATAAGTTAGACAAATAAGAGCTGTTATTAAAAATGAATCTTTTTTAGACATTAGTACAGCTGAAAGATGCCTTTGTGAGTACCTCATAACTCTGAAGTGCTCAACTCCCCTTCTGTTTATAAAATATGTCCACTATCATAACATCCCAACAGCTCTAGGCTGTAAACTGAACCCGGAGAGGGTAACAGGCTCCAAAGGCTTTGACTGTCAGCAGCTACCAGCACGGCATTTATTTGTTCATTACGTCAAGTGTTTTGCCTGCTAAAACAAGGGCATCCTCTGGGGCCAAAAACAATCAAGTGCTTTTAGCCAGCAAATTGAAAGAATATATAAATAAGAGATGAGGAAAAATAAACATACAGCACAAGGTAGACTAAGCACAAGACATTTCCTTGAAAAATCAAACCAGTTCCTTCAGATGCAAAATTCGGTGTAACATTGCCCTCAGTCAGCTAAAAACATGTTAGAAATTGTTGGGAAGGCCCTCAAAGGGCACCCTAAATTTCTGAACTGCTGATTTATGATTTTTTTTTTAAATAAAGTTGAACATTGACCTAGAGATCCAATTGATAAACACTTGATGAAATTCTCCTTCCAGTAGCATCTCCAGTCATACCAACCCAAATATTCTCCTTAACATGAAATTACACTGTATTTTATAAAGACGGGTGGATGAACAACATATATAGCACGGAGTGTTTAAACTATGACACAGGTACAGCCTTGGGCACAGGTAAAAAACCTTTAGAAAGTAAAAGCAGTGAAACTGCCTTTCTTTTGCATCTTATAAAAGACTGGGCAAAACACAACTTTATCCGCTAGGGAGCCACCCTGAAGTGGCAGGAACACAGTCAGTGAAACCCTCCTACTGAAAACAATATTGTAAGAAATAATGACTGATCTCTCTCATATGCTGGTGTTTATGTTACTTATACATAAATGGTGACATATAATTAATAATTAATTTTAAATTAATGGAATTATATTGCATAATTTGGATGTCTTAGTCATTTCTTCATTTTTTTTTCTGCTCATAGCCTCTGGGAGAAGAATTTTTATAGAGTGGGAAAATATAATTGTTCTAAACTGTAAAATAATTACTTATATATGAGGCCTAAATTTTTAGCCACTGCTTTTTCAATAATTTGATATGAATTCAGCATAACCCTTGTGATATGTAAGATTATAAAATTCAGGGGTATCTCCTTTCACACTATTATTTGAAAACTAAACCTCTGTTGCAAGTTTGTTGTTTGTTAGAAATCCACAGCTTTTATTTAAACAACCAACTGCAATATACCTTTTAACTCTCTATTAAAAGACAAGTTTAATTACCATTAAAGATTTGCTTATGGTAATTTTAGTGAAAATGTTGCAGTTCTGACGAATATAGTTTGCCCCAAACACCAAACAATTATTCTTAAAATAGTTTTCACTTCTTGTCACTGTTTTCAGGGATCAAAAAATCTCCGTGTTAAAAATTTCATCTATTTTCAACTATTTTAGGGTTTCTGTACACAGTATTAGAATATCTCCCAATCCTACCCTTAGTAAAACTCTTCCTGTCCTTCTAACACTTCCAAGAAAGATCACATAAAACATTCCCAATTCTGCCTTTCTAGAAAGTTGTAACTTATGCTTCCCTTTTTTGGCAAACATACCATGAATGCTGTTTTAAGAATGGATTTTGTTTTGTAATACTATGCTCAGAGTCACCATGTACAAACCAGACAGAAAACCCATATAAGGTCATCCAGACCATCACTCCCTACAGTTCAGGACTGTTCCCATAATATGATTTCTAATGCCTTTTTTCCAGCATACTTGTAAGTGTCCTGGTGTTTACTTTTACTTCCAGTTAGTTATCCCAATCTGTACAAGTCCACTTGTAAGAGGACTTGTTTTTTCAGCACCACCTTCTTTTTAAGCATTTCCTCCAACTAGCATAATCCTATTACTCGCATATTTTCTCACTAAGCAACAGGATAGGTTCTTCCTCCCCCATTTCTTTACAATTTTCAAATCAGTGTCTGAAGTGCTGGATCTTCCTCACCAGTTTTATTAAACAAAGATCAAACTGTCACTAAACCTCTCTATTTTTTAAAGGCTTCTTTGGTCTTAATGGTGAAACATCTAACATATAACTCAAAAGGTAGTAGCATCATTAGAAACATGAAACAGAGGGGAGGGAGAAGATTCCATCTTGGTGGGACACCATGCTACAATTTAAAGCCTATGACTGACTATTTTACTCCTGATCAAAAAGTCATTTCAGACTGCTGCAACAATCTATTATTACATAGATCTGGAGGGACAACAACATTTATTTGCAGTCAGAAGCTGATGAACTGATGTACTACTTACTCCCCAAGATTAAAGCTACCTCTTCTTTTATCCAGAAAAAAGCTGAAGGAAGCTCTTCCATTTCCTAACTGAAAAGTGCTCACTGCCCCTTGCACAACAATGTTTTTTAATCAAGTTTCTCAAAACGTATTTAAAAGCATTTCTAGACTTTATTCTTGTTAAGCATCAGCTCATCTCATTATCCTGGGGGAGGATAAATGACTAGATGGGGGTCAAAAGGAGAGAAACAACTCATTCTGCATCTAGTAACTATAATTATTATATTTTTCATTTTTTTCAATTCATTTTTTAAAGATACAAAGGATAAATAGTTGTGAAACAAGTACATGCCCTTTTGGCACAAAAATGCAGTTAAGCTACAAGTTTTTTAGTTGCTAGAGTTTATATTAATAAAACATATAGATAGATTGAACTAGAAAGTGAAAAGTTTTGAGGATGTGTCTCCTCACAAAGGAGAACAATTCAAAGAACTATATACACAAGAAAAATAAAACTGAAAATTAAATAAGCTTTTCCTACTACCAAAAACACTTTTGCAGAAATCAAATCACTGTTATTATAAAAAAAGGATTGACAAAATCCTCTACGACATGTAGAAACAATTTCACAAGCTTTTTCCTTTCTTTCATTATTATGAGAAAATTTTATTTCAGCAAGTTACTCACCTACACAGTTCCCCACCCACGGGCAGTGATGATCAAACTTTGCTATACATCGATTGCACACACCACAGTGTTTAGACCTCACTGGCTTCCGTATCTGTAATGGATATTAAAGTTTGTTCAGAACTTTAAAATAAAACTGACAATTTCACTGCAGGAAAAAAAAAGTTAAATTAAACATACATTGATTTTTCTGTTGTTAATCTTTCAAGCATAATGGTTAAGACTTCACTAAAATTAGCATCAAGCTTTATCGAAATATAACGCAAAACAAACATATATGTAGAATACAAACTTATTTAAATGATGATTTTCACTTTTTTAAATGTGCTTTTTTTTTTCTTTTTCATACAAAGATCTCCTACTTTCTCCAGTAACTGAGCTTTGCATACCAGCTATAGAGCTTTGCATAAAAAGCAAAGCATAAAAAAAAAAAATCAGGGCTGCAATTGATTAAAAAAGAATATATTACCAAACAGGTACTGCAGAATATACTGAGGTCCAGGCTTCCTGTCTCTGCAAGTTCTACTATAGTCTGCAGAGAAATAAGCAAACAAACAAACAAAAAACAGCATTTAACATATAGAGGTGCTAGCAACCAATATAGTATTTGCATCTCAATCACTTATTTCTGAATGAATTCTAGCTTATACTCATTCCTATTCTACCCAGATTTAATTACAGCAAAAGTAAGCGTATGTTAATTCTGATATATCCACACAGTGGCTCTCACCAGTTTGACTACCCTTACGTTAAACTTATCACATATTGTGAAACTGATTTTCTAAACAGGACCATACAAGACCTTTTAGGAAGCTAGCAAGAACAGGCTCTCCAAAAAGCAGAGCAGAGGTGTCCCAGCAAACCCTTCAAATCTAGATTCATCTCTTCCCTTAGATCTGAAGGAAGGTTATAATGCAAGCCAAACCACCTCACCTGTCTTTTACAGATAATATAACACTTCTGGCTCAAGTAACACACAGAAGCAAGTATCTGTTACAGCATCTCTATTCCTTCATGACAGCTTTTTGTTTTGTGCAATCCTTCAGTGTCCATTTCATAGCTGCAAAGGAATCCACCCACTATTCCATGAAATAAAAGTACCTATTTACAGCAGCTTTTGGACTTCAGCATTTGAACTCTGTGCCACAAGAGGCTTTACGTGACGTTGGAGAATCTCCTGAAAGCACCTTTTGCCAAACGAGCCTACCTTGATCCAGCAAGAATCCATTCAACAAGAGCTGAACAACAAATAGGCTATTCTACTGTTCACTTTCAAACCAGGAATATCTTGTGTGTCACATACTGCTTTCTTAATGAGATGAAGACCAATAGCACAAGGAACTTGAATGAAATTGCACTTTTTTTTTCTTCCCGTAATATAGTTCACTTAATAACTGGTCGAACAATCTTCACAGTTTTCTAGTTTCTGCTAGTCTGGCTTTTGATATTCTAATGCATTTTGCAGAATTCCACAAATAGGTCCTCTCATTTCATTGGAAATATCTACACACTAAACAGGAGATGCACAAAAGAATGTTTATGTAGTGAACCCTGGAGTTCTGCAATTATTCACCAGTGAGACTCAAAGCTCAGACAAAGAGAAGTGAGCAGGAGCAGAAACACCTTTAAATAAAACTTTCCTTAAAATTTATAATGCATAGAAACTCAGGAGTACTCAAAGTTAGAGACAGTTGTTTCTGCTTTGTAAAACCTACATCTATTTCCTTTGTTTTTTACCTTTAGATTTTATATTTGAGTAACTCAGGTTATTTTGTAATAACTAGACCAAAAAGGGATGAGACATATGAGAAGAATAAATATTTGAAATGTTGCTTATAGCACACTGCCAAACACATTTAACTTGGTCATCTGGAATTAAAAGAATTGTTTTTGGAATACTTAATTGTTCAACAGCTAGAGGCTAACTCAGCCTAACCAAAAAACATTTGGAGACAGATTATGAAATCAGAGGAGAAAGTACGACACAACGCTGGGTCAAGTTAAAGCGCATGCCCCACTGCAGTTTATGCCCTGATAATAGATCATTTGATAAACTAGTAAGCTGCAGTGTAAAAAATACAAAATATTCATAAGCTGATAGGCATGTGACTGAAGAAGTTGAATTCTACAAGTCATATCCAGTTCATCAGGGCTTTTCTGCCCATATTCAATTGCTTATGCAAGTAGATTAAATGAATTGCATATTTGTGCAATTTGCTGAATCAGAATCAGAGCATGCTTGGCTGTGCTGAATTTATGTAATTATTTAGTCTAGTTGAAGGAACAGTACTTAGGTTGCAATCCATTTGGGCAAATTTACACCAATAGAAAATGAACCCACAGGGTAAATCTGCACATCTACTATGAAAAGCTAGCATCAATGAATCAAAGAACCCAAAGTCTTCCAAACAATCACACTATTTTTGAAGGCTATTAATATTGATCCCTATACACAATCATAATGACTAATGGTCTTATGTCAATCCATACAGGACACACAAATCAGCATGAATTAGAAGCTCCAATCTCATTTTGCTCAAAAATGAAACAACAAAACCAAAACCAAAAACATTTCTGCTTTTTTTAATTTTAATGTTTTCAATATTCAGTTCAACTGTTGAGAAAAATGCATTTCCAAATGCTAAAAATAGTGTTATCAAGTCTCAGAAAAAAATATTATAAATATTGTAAGACCATACATATTATCTCTAATATGTAAACCAAGACCAAAAAAAAAAAAAAAATTAATTGCAGAGGTTTGGCTTATTCTATCCTAATAGCATTTGGCAGTCAGACAAAAGCATTCAGGCATGAAAATAAACAAACTTGAGATGACAGAAAACATTGAAAGTTTTTAGAGAATCAAAATAAAGATAATTTATTCCATAGTGGGGCATTCTTTTTCACCAAGTCAAAATTCAGTAACTTTGCATTCCCATTTTCATCTTAGTGCTTTTTAAACTTTTTATCTTGTAAATTTAAGTTGCAATTTTATTTTGTTACTCAATGCAACCTTGGACCAGTAAGGCACATCTTTTATAATAAAAAAAAGAAATCTGGAAGACAAATGAAGAAAAAACCTTTCAAGACGTAGCCATTCTGTTACACAATTTATTGAAGCTTCCTGTACTAAACAGAAAACTACTCAGACCAACTGGCAGAAGACAAATCATCCTTGAAAGAAAACAGCTTTAGAATAATTCACTGTTACCTTTTTCTTTTGTTCTTCTGTGGCTTTGATGATCCCTGGATCCGATTTCCAGGATTTTCCAAAATTGTAGAAAAGTGCAACGCTATTAGCGAGGAATGGAAGGTGTATGAAGAAAAAATTGAGATGTGTTTGAAGTCAAGGAATCTAAAGTTTAAAATCAAAGCTGCTTTTTGAAGACACCACTGTGGAATGAATAAATAACATGGATAATTTTGAAATAAACACAAAGTGAATTTAATTTTTAACAAATGCTCTTGAGTCACTGTAATGTTCTGAATTAACCAAGTAAGTTCTGTTGTAAGCACTTCTTTTGTATTCGGTATTCTCTATTGCTCAAACTTAAAAAATTATTTATTTTTAAAATGCTGTTCTCCAGGAGACACTTTCAAAACACTTACAAACTAAAGCATGAATAATGACAATTCAGTTTTTATCATTATTTCATTGCTTAAATAAATTAAATTCCATGAAACTTATCTTAAAGTGTTTCCTGTTTTCACAATAAACATCTCAAAGTTCTATTTATAAGAAACTCATTTGACTGCTTATGTCTTCATTGGTTTGAAATTCCAACCAGATGACAAAAAGGCTGCTTTTAGCCATATAAGGAATTGTGCTGCAAAGAAGTTACACGGCAATCGTGTCTCAAATGGCACTTATCTCCAAGAAAGGTACTGTCTGAAACCTTGACCCTTAATAATGCAATACTTGCATTTCACATCAATGGAAGTTATTTTTAACACACTAAAATGTCTTCTAGTAGCTACAAAAACATAGGACTCTATTCCCTGGAAATGTTTAAAACTTCCAACACTATATAAAGATGGAAAATAACCATTAGCTTAAAAATAAGTTTCCTATGTTGAATGATTTTCCACCCAATATGCACAGTCTCACAAAAGTTAATATTTGTTCACAGAATTAAAGTATTTCCTAGCAATGATACTGGAAACCAAAACACTTCAGACAAATCTCTTTCCTGGAATATTTACTCAGTTTACTGCATCCACAAAAGACCTGACAAACACTAAAAGTAACCACCCGTTGTCAGTCAGGCATAAATGCAGACACACATCATATTTGACATGGCTGCACTGACAGAAGCCTGTATCCAAAACTTAAAAAAAAAATCAAATTTGAAATTAAAATATATGAAATATGGAAGAAAAAAAGTTTCTTGGAAAGAAACTTGAACAAAAGTTTATAAGAAAGGCATTAAGAAGCAGCACTCCGGAAAAAAATGTTCATAAACCAAATCTACATGGTACAGACAAGCAAATATAAAATAAAGAGTTCTACACAATAAGACTAAGCTTCTAAAATTCTTTTCCACTGCTCTTGTGATGTGAAATTAACTTGAAATTTTAATACATTTGAGTAATATATCCTTTGACTTCTGAAATGCTAAGAACAAAGTTACTGTGAAGTGTATCCCAACCAAATTTTGCTTCCCTTTTCTGTTGGGTGAAGGATTGGATGTAGATTTCCAATAAAAAAACATGCCAACTTAAGTTCAAATTTTTATCATGTTCCTTATAAAGCAGACCGCTAGCATTAAATCACTACAGGCTAATTAATATTTCCTGTAGCAAGCCACTTCCAGCAAATTTATCATAAGGAAAAAAAATCAGGTATACTATAACCTAAACACACACAGTTCTATTTGATGTGTTACATATAAAAAAGCTCAGAGTTTAGCTTTTATGTAACCTAATTTCTTCCCATTTTTCTTATAAAACTAACTGCTGCCAAGAATACGTGATTTCAGCTTCCTCGTTTAGCTTTAAGAGCTTACTTTTTCTTTATAACGCTATTATCATCACGAGTGTTTCTGCCACAACAATGAAAACTTTAAAACATCTGTTACAAACAATAAATGTACAAATGAAAAAAAATTATATGAACCATTCCTAATTACTATACGTCATGTCTAGACTGTTAAAAAAGATAGGGAAAAAGACAATTTAGTTTTATCCAGTAGAAGGATTTTATGACCTTAAGATTTTGGCCTTGCTGTTTCACTGACTCAAATTTGGACCACGTCGTACTGGAGCCATGAAGCCGTGGATGGAACCAAGCCACGGGAGCAGGAATTCAGCGCGCGGGATGTTTTCTGCACGCGGCCTTCCCCCATTAAAGAGGCACTTCACAGAGCACAGGGCGAACGCAGGAGGTGGCCGCGCGGGCCGAGTTCCACCTCTCCTTTCCCCCGCGCTGGCGCGGATCAGTGCCGGGCTGGGAATGTACCTGGATGCTGAGGATGGGACGTGCTGGGAGGCCACACAGGAAAGGTGACCTAGGTATGGGTAAGCAGTGGTAAAGTGGCGAAAGACTGCAAGTCAGAAAGTGTTTTTCATCAACGCTTGCAAAAACAAGTCTCACATGAGGTTTAAGAAAGAATGGGGAGCAGGGCTGCGACCTGCACAGACTCTGAATGGGGGCGGAACATTAAAACCACCTCTCCCAGGACATAACTGATGCATCTGGTGTGGAAAAGGATCAACCCTCTAAGTGGTTATAACTCTCCACTAGCAATAGAGAGCTTAAACAACTTGCTTAGATACGAATATCTAGAACTATCTAGGAGGGAAAAAAAAAAAAAGAAAAAAAAAAGCCAATGGGATCCTGGCCTGCATCAGGAGGAGCGTTGCCAGCAGGTGGAGGGAGGGGATCCTGCCCCTCTGCTCAGCTCTGGTGAGGCCGCACCTGGAGTATTGGGTGCAGTTCTGGGCTCCCCAGTACAGGAGGGACGTGGAGCTTCTAGAGAGGGTCCAGCAGAGAGCAACAAAGATGATTAAGGGACTGGAGCATTTGTTGTATGAGGAAAGACTAAGTGAGCGGGGCCTGTTTAGTCTGGAGAAGACTGAGAGGAGATTTGATCAACATGTACAAATACCTGAGAGGAGAATGCAGGGAGGATGGGGCCAAACTCTCCTCTGTGGTGGCCAGTGGCAGCACAAGGAGTAATGGGTGCAAGTTGAAACACAGGAAGTTCCATCTCCATGTGAGGAAGAATTTCTTTCCTGTGAGGGTGACAGAGCCCTGGAACAGGATGCCCAGAGAGGCTGTGGAGTCTCCTTCTCTGGAGATCTTTCAAACCCGCCTGGATGCCACCCTGTGCCACGTGCTCTAGGTGTCCCTGCTGGAGCAGGGGGTTGGACTAGATGATCTCTAGAGGCCCCTTCCAACCTCAACCATTCTGGGATTCTGTTAAAACTCTCCATTCGTAAGAAACCCTTGTAGTATCACATTAGTTATGGAGTAGGGAAGCACTTCTTCAGAGACAAGGCCTCATTTTGTTCTGATGTCCTCACTGCTTACATCCATGTCAAGAAAAAAGCACATTACCACAGACCAGGGGCTGCAAAAAGCATGATGCTGGCACATGTTAACCTTCGGCACTGCCACCGACTGGCCATCTTTTAGGAGGCCTCTCCAGCTTTCGGTGTGTGAGACAAAGCAAGAAGGCCCATGAAACGCATCTTATTTTGAGCCCTAATCATAATTACTCCAAGAAAACAACTGAGCCAAAAAGATTGACATGTTAAAATGAAAAACAAAACCAAGAACTTCTCTCCCCGTCTTGGTGAGTTGATGAACTTATTTTTCATCCTGAACTGTACCACCTACCTGAAATGGCCCAAATCCATGCAAATTCCCACTATATCAACTACACGTCACACAACTGTGCCTGAAACCAAGCCAATCTGCTCATTACATATACATCAAGATGCATCTTACATTAACATAATCTAACAGTACAGTCCCTATCTTTGAAAGATCTGGAGTTAGTAAAAGCTGCTGCAGATTGATAGAGGCCGATGAACCTGCCAATCGACACCAGCTGCAGTCTGGAGTAGCGGGGAGGGTGGAGGTAGGGGCTCGGGTACCTGGCATAGAGTAGGGTAAGGTCAGGGTGGAATTTGGGTAGCATTAGGCTTGGGTTAGGTTAGGGCAGGTAGGATCCGGGTAGCTAGGCTTAGGGTAGGGCAGGTAGGCTTAGGGCAGGTAAGCGTAGGATAAGTAGGCTTACGGCAGATATCAGATTTTTTTTAACCTTTTTTTCCCCTCCAAATAAAGCTCTACAAAGGCTCTCTACCTCCATCATCTAGCTAGTATAAGGAAAAAAAACCCTAGCTTGCACAAAAAACTTTGTTCACTGCCACCCTCCACAGACTAAATTTTTTCAATTTTTAGTTATTAAAAATATTTAGAGAAGACAACAGAAATTGTGAATAGTTGGTTCTGGACTTTGGGTTTCTTTGGTCATTGGCTCCCCATTGGAATAACTGCTGGTCTCTTCTTATTTTTTCCTGATGCTAACTGTAAAACACTGATCATACGTATGTTTCTGTTTTATCTATGTAACTTTGCCAATTGGCTTGGCACAGTTTTTAAAACACTACACCCCTCTAACAGCTTTGTGGAAGCATGAAAATCATAATGAATTCTCTTACACACAGTGCTAAGAGACTGAAAAAATGTGCACCCCCTGTTTGCTTTCCTTTGCCTGAAAGCAGTCACCGCACTTGCACCGCACAGTGCATTTGAAATCTGATAAAAATAACTAATGAAGTATCAATCAGTGGTAAATTGTCTGGCATATGTTATCTCATTAGCTCAGCACTGGAAGTCATATGTTATACTAAGCTTAACAATTTGAAAACTGGATACTCCCAGTTGCACCAAATGCAAGAGGTAAAACCAGAAGAAAAAAAAGAAGCGAATAGTTTGTGTTACCACAAATCCAGACATCTTAGAAAAACAGTGCAGGGAAAGAACTTCAACATACCAGGTGGTATTTGTTCAGCTGTTACAGAAAAAAAGACTGCATGAACAACTGAGATGTGCTCAGTATGGGCCTTCAATTTTTACAGGATAAAAGGAGATATTCTACCTGCAAATGTTAAAGGGAAGAAATGAAATGTGAAATTCTAGCCTCACCTGTTTACATTTTTGTTTGTTTTAAAAATAAAACTAAATTAAGATGCAAGAATTAAGTGTGCAAGACTGCTTCTTTCCTTAATAAAATTGCTCCTACTCAGCAAAGAACTGAATATGAGAAAACATTGAGAGAGTGAAACACAACACCTTTCCTTTGCTGTGGACAGAAACAGACAGAAAGCATACAGAAAGAATAAAAAGATATATGTATTTATGGTCCTATGCTCAGAAAGATCCAGTAGAATGAAAACATTTGCCAGGGTACATTCACTAGATTGATATAAACTGTTTCAGCTTAATTTCAAAATGGGTGAAGTGTAAAAGATACATCATTTAGTATTAAAATTTACACAAGACCTTATTTTTCATGTGACCATCCTGATATTCAACTAAATGTGCTGTAAAACTTAGGTCATGTGTGTTATTTGTGATACACTGTTTCTGCTGTCCTTTTTTGCCTCATTAGGATTAAAGTCAGAAGACCAAAAACCTTATAAGGATCTACAGAGAAACAAACTCTTAATAAACGCTTCAACATTCAAGCAACACACACAAAAAAAGAAGTAAAAAAAGTAAAAAAAAGACTCTTCCATTACTTATAAACTACATTTAAAGTCTCAGTAAGGCAGTTCCTGAGAGTTGTTTAATATTAGAAACTCTGTATTTATGAGCAAAACATTGGTAGGATCTGTGAAAACTGGCAAGACAAGTTCCATCAGATATCACTTCAACATTACAGAGTACAGTACTCTAGTCTGCTGTAAGTAATCATTTAAAGCTGTAAAAATAAAAGAACTCTTACTCCAACCACAGTAGTATGTCTCATGCTATAAAAATAGAGCAGGCATGTAATTTCTTCTTTTTTTTTCTCTTTTCCAATAAAGCTACAGAGCAATTTTCCAGAAGAAGAAAAATGAATTTGGAATCTTATTACAGAGATTTCCAATTTAAAACGATCAATTAAAGGAAGATGGCTTCAAGGACTAAGTCTCTGTCAGCATTTGTCATATAGAATTGTGTCAGCTCTAATGAGAGCAATTAGCCACAACTGAAAGTTGTAGACTATTATTTCTGTGTACAAAAAAAAAAAAAAAAAAAAAAAAAAACTTGCAAAGATTCTGAGGTATCTGCTTTAAGTTAAAGAAACAGCATAGTATTTTACTGACTATTCCGAAGTCAGACGTTTGTATCAGGTTATATAATTTCCTAGGCTTATTGCTCCTAGTGAACAATGAAATTTTCTCTCTGACAAGAATGAACTTCAAATTATGTTAAATGAAATTAACAACTAACGGAATAAAAAATAAAAAGAAACTTGCCAAGTTTATACAAGGGTTGATAAAAATCTCTATTTGCCAGCTTGCTTTCTAAGAGTGTGCTTTTTTAAGGCACAGCTTTCTACATTAAGATAACAGCTACCATCATGATGGCTGTGGCAGCTATTTTAGTATAGGATTTTAATTGAGAGTTGCACATACAAGGGACACATTCTTAAATTTGTTTCAAGATAATGCAACATTAGCTTGAGAATGCATTTCATAGGAACACAGCAATGCATTTGCAGCCCCCAAAACGTGGAAACACATAGAGAACACACGTAGAAAACTACTGCACTATCTCAGTTTCGAATCTCTGCCCTGTATATCTTGTAGGTTACAATTGCCCAAGAAACCTGTATTTTATTATCTGCTGAAAGTCAAGCTTGTTTTCGCATCAAAACAGTAAAGCAGCTTCACTCATAGTTAGTACCTACTCCTCTTGCAGAATCCCTTTGCAAGCACAATCAGCATGGAAGCCAAACGTGGTATGGAAACAGGGTCTACTTTGCGTTCTCTGCCCACGAGTGTGAGGTTCATTTAGCTAAGATTTGAGAACATATTGACAAGACGATAAAAGGGTTGCACTGCTACCGCCCTATTTCATACTACAACTCATTTGAGGCTGAAAAGGAAAGCACTTTTCTAGAAAGCTAAGCCAACATCTATCACAAATATTAATTTTGCTTCAAGTATTCACAACTAGAAGGACTGTATTAAAAATTTAATAAAACACATTAAATCTTTATTCGGTTTCTAAGTTACTGGAATTACAATACCCAAGAAAGTAGTTAAAAAAAAATTAACCTCTCTTTAATGGGGGCAACTGACATTATTAAATGAACTCTGAATCAATTTCTACCCTGGGAAATGTTCATATCTAGCAGATAGTCAAAGAAAAAGATGGGCACACTAATCCTCTAGATTAACATGTACATCTTCAAAGACTGAAAACACAACAGTTTGCATAAACAGTTTGCATAAAGTGATATCTACAAAATCTTTGGGAAGAAAACAATTATCAGTCTATTTCCACTAGAATTAATGCATGCTGGGAAATTATCTATTGCTTTCTAGAACAGCACAGTATCTAACAGTTGAAAAAAATCTCAAAATTTGTCAACTCAGAACCTCAACACATCTTATACATGTTTTATGGAATAGTTTACATTTAATAAAGTATAGCAGATTTTTAGACCACTGTAAATGAGTTTTGAGTTTTACTGAAGCAAAAGCAGTAAGTGTGCACATCTCTAAAACAATAAAAATATGAATTATCAACAAAGAAAACTTATTTTTAATGGAGATTAAACTAGTTAAAATTTTAACTAACTAGCTTACATACTTACTTTCATATGTAGGATTACTCTGGGAATTATCTCACATTACTAATATGAAAAAAGTTACTGAGCACAGGAAAAGGATATCGTTCCAGAACCAGAAGAACCACGTCACGTACATCCAGAATTTTGTTGCCAAGTATATTCCAAGAGGCAATGCACTGTGCATGGAATGATCAAAGAATGACCTGAAAAGGAACAGTGATATCACGTAAGTTTTAATGTATAGAGACAGAAAGTTACTTCTTCAGTCAAAATTAAAAAGCAGGACATCTGAATTTTTAGCTTCTTATTTTCCTGCATTCTAAAGGATATTCTGGAGGGAAAAATAATAAATATAGCTGACACAAGTTAGGCAAATGGTTACGAATATTCAAGAAACACTTGCTAAACATATCAAAAATCACATTCTAAAATGCTAAACTGCTTGAAATAAAACTTTTTGCACGTTCTTCTCAACTATCCTTTTGTTGATGCATTTGTCTTTTTGTCCTGACTGTGCCCCCAGGGTTGCTCTGAACAAACCCATGAATAGAGCAATTCCCATTTTCCTCCATTATAGTAACTGACTCCTTGACTTTTGAGAAAATTCTATAACAAAGATGAGCCAGAAGAGTAAATTAAGAGTTAAGAAACTAGTTAAGAATATATAGCATGCATGCATACTAGTTATTCAGCAGTAACTTTTCTTTCAGTGGATTCCATGTTTTTTTTTTCTTCTTGCTGTAAAAGTAGCAAGGAAGAAAAAGCAGCTAAGTGGGTTAGCTAAAATTCAACTGTGAAAAGGAATACTCCTAGGATAGCAGAGGTAACTGCACTTTTTCTTGCCTTTATAGAAAACACCTAAAAAAATATTTATACTAAACATTAAGCAAAGAACAAGAGAAAGTGAAAGAATGTTAAAGAATTTTAAACACAAATACACATCAGATAGGTCAAAAGTATAAAACTTGAGGAAACATAAATCTTGAGAAACTTGATGAAATTATGTCCTTGCCTGCAGGAGATTGTGCTGGTTGACGACTTGCCTTGCCAAGAGAAGGCGCTGCAGGAGGAGGGCAGCAGACTGCATTGCATCAGGGATGATCCAAAGGACACGGAGAAGATCATCTCTGAGCCCATGAAGAGACAAGGGCCCAAATCCCCAGAGGGATGTCTGCCAATCAGGCAGGCAGAGTCTGTCCTTATCAGGCTGGGAAATAGAGAGCCCCACACAGATGAAGGGCCAGGGATTTTGTCCAAAAACATCCAAGTCATGGATCTACGGGCCTGATGGCTCATATGGGGCTTTCTCCCTTGATCTTGCCCATGAGCCATAAGGCCTTGAGGAGGTATGGATGGGTCCTCTGAGTTACCAGCCATTTGCACAACTGGTGTTGACTGGTGTTAGTTTTTATGAACCCAGGACCTTCTCTGAAGGTTGAAGACTTCTGGGAAGAGATGGGAAACCACCTGAGCAACTGGGGCAAAAGAATCTTTGCCAACAAGCTGACCAGCCTGTTAAGGCAAGTTTCAACGCAGGAATGACAGGAGAGGGAAAAAACAACCCACAATCAAGGAGGAATATGTGGACAGGACTGGCAAGCAAAGGGTGCAGGGCAGACAAGAATTCCCTAGTGATCTGTAACCAGGCTGAAGTAGGCCCTCCTCAGCCACATGCATGCAAGCAGAGAAGCACCAAGAGGACACTGCTATAGGGGTAAGCTCTCCTACTCTTTCCTTGGAAATCATCATGACTTAGTGCCTCTCCCAAGTGCCCATGATGAACACGGTACAGGGAACAAACAGGAGAAACTAGAGGTTGGCACACAGCTGCAGGGCCAGGCTCTCCTCAGGATCCTGAACACATGCTGAAATACCTTACACAAGTGGAGTGCTGCCATGGATGAATAAAAACTATTTGGAAAGAGCAGTCTGGGACAGCGAGGATGGGCAATTGCCCTGTATGTGAGAGCACAACTCCATGCACAGAGCTCTGCCTCGGCACAGCTAACCCTCTGAGGCTTCAGGAGAGCAGACGACAGTCTGCTCAGAGATCTGCTTGGGAGAATCCTATGGGAGATCATCCTGGAGGGAAGAGGCATATGGTCCCAGAGGAAAAAGGGATTTAGAACTGCTTGATTTTCAAGTTGCACCTCCTCCACATGCAAGGAGGATCCATTCCAATGTGCAGGAAGACAAGGACAGCTGGCAAAGGGCCTGCATGGATGAGGAAGTTACTTCTGACAGAACTCAAATGTAAAAAGGAAGTGTACAGGAGGTAGAGGCAGGATCAGGTGATCCAGGAGGAATACGGACATTGTCCATGCCTGCAGGGATGAGGCTGGGAAAGCCAAACCCAGCTGGAGATGAATCTGGCAAGCAGTGTGAAGGGCCACAAGCAGGGCTGATGAGCAGGAAAGGACAAGCAGGCCCTGGGCTGCACTAAGAGCACTGGCAGCAGGCCAAGCAATGTGGCTATTTCCCTCTACTCAGCACTGGTGAAACCACGTCCAAAGCCCTGAGTCCTGTCCCGGGCTCCCTAGCACAAGGCAGACATAGACTTACAGGTCTAGCAAAGATCACGAAAATGCTTAAGGCTTAGGAGCATCTGACATATGAGGAGCAGCTGAGAGAGCTGGGACAGTTCAACTTGAAGGGCTGAAGGAGGGTCAGGGTGGATTTTATCGCTCTGTACATGTAGTTGATGGGAGCAAATGAAAAAGAGAGGGCCAGATACCAGAGAAGCCCAAAGAGAGGCAGTGTTATTCACTGAAATGGCAAGATCTAATGGGCACAAACTCAAGTACAGGATATACCATTTAAATAGAGGAAAATGTTTTACAGTGCAAAGATGGTCAAGCACAGGTTGCCCACAGGCTCTCCATCATAGAGGAGGCTCTTCATCATCTTCTCATCCTTGAGAGATTCAAAAAACAACCAGACACAGCCATAGGCAATCTGCTGTAGTTGATCCTGCTTTGAGCAGGGGTTGGAATAGGCAATCTCCAAAGTATTTTCCAACTTTAACAATTGTAAGAAAAAAAAAATAGCCCTTTATGCTTTCTACAACTTGCTGATCTGAGAATGAAAACTGGTATTAGAGTACCATTCATTTTCCTTATAGGATATGGCCTGGACAGTAACAACTAGTTAACCTCACTAAGCTGATGATTTTATAGATATGAGAATTTCTGATTCATAAGAGTATATTAGAGGAGAGTGTCTCACAGTAATTCAGACAGTAAGTGCTTTGAGGAAAAAGATTCCAGTTCCTATACATTGTGAGAAGCTGTCGAGGCAGCTAAGAACACCTTTGCGAGGGGGCACATAACCAAGTCTGTTGTCATGGAAAACTGCTGTGCTTGGCGTATTTATCAATGAAAGGCAATT